CAGCAGAAGTGGCTGTGTGCTGCTCCGCTGGTGGGCTGGGCTGGGCTGGATGACCCCATGGGACCACTGGTTGTCTACCACTTTAGCCTGGGCTTGTTTTTATGGCAAAGACAGGAGTTCCTGAAAAAAAAAAAAAAAGACAAGTGTGCAAGGCCTCTTAAGGTTGAATGAAATGAGAATATGTATCCCCAAACATAGCTCTTTCACATTAAAATTGATTGTGAGCTGAAGGCAATTAAGAAGCAGCAAATGCCAGAAAAGCTTTCTTTACTCTCCCCCTTTTCTGCCTGTAGCCAGAATATAAATTCCTTATATTTCAGACAACTCCAAACTCTCATCAGCCCAAAGATAGCACCAGCAGAACCCACAAAAGACTCTCACCCCATTAGCTTCCTTTACTAAATTTATCTCCCACACTGGTCCTTGCCCTTGGAAGCCTACAATGCTCTCCTTCATCCTGTTACTTCTCTATAGGTTTATTGTTCCTTTTAAGGATGCTTTATAAGCCAGAGCTCCAAGTCACTGCTCTGAGTTGCTTTTCTCTCTCCTGCATGATTTATTACTGCATGTGGAAATATGCTGTTTTCCTCCTGTTAATCTGTGTTTTTGTAAAGAGCTTTCACTGAAAAGCTAAGATGGGCAAAGGTTCAGTTTTACCTCCTCTACAAGGCCCAGGTTGGGAACTGGTGCTCTGACCCTGGCCAAAGCAAGAGAACCAGGCATGATCCAGAGGTAGGGGAATAGAATCCATCTCTGGATGGCAGGAGTGGTAGTCATGTAGTGAACAGTGTGGATACCGAGAGTCATTGATTACAGCTGTCAATACAGCCATCCCTAACCAACCCAGAGGCTGCTGCCCATCATAGGGCTGGCAGTCTTCAGTGTTAGGACAGAAACATCTGGTGGCTGGACCACCTGCAAAGCTACATATTCTTGCAAAGTGACAAGGCATGTGCAATCAGCAACACAAGTATCTGTTTTCCCCTGGGTCCCCAGCCTTGACTTTACTGTCTCCAATCAGCCAAGCTTGTCCTGAACCTGATCTGGGTTCACCCTGAAGCTTGCCCAAAGCCCTCTGTGCCAGGAGACTCACCCTGGGGCTTGCCCTGAGTACCCAATGGAGTCCTGGGCTCACGTCAGGTCAGGACTTGTCTAAAGTGTGTGGTATGATGCAGAGCAACCTGAGCCTTCCACAGAGACCAGGGCTTGCCCTTAGGCTTGCCTGGAATGCTCCACGTACAGGGAGCAAAATGGGAGCCAGTCATCTCTGTCCTGGGACCTCAGGAGTCAGAGCAAAATGGATGAGTCATGCAGCAAAGCATGTGAAATGCAGAAGCCATTAACTGTGGTCATCAATAGAATGTGTGACCTAAGCAGTAGCAAAGGAAACTTGGATGCTACTGTCAGGCTGGGCTCTGAGTCCCACACCAAAGCCTTCCTGGATCCCACGGGGATCAGTATCTCTTCATTCTTCACCTTTGGCATCACGAATCTCTTGCCCATCCTTCTTTGTCTGAACAGAACATAGTAACTGGGACTGTGAGTTTCTAGGTTGACTCTTCCTCTTGATACCAGACTCCTTGGGGGTGTCAGGCTGCTTTTAGCCTCAGTGGGCAGTACAGAGAGGGAGGGTATGTTGTGTTGGGGCATGTAGGCAGGAAATGGGCTGCAACAGGGACCCCCAATGTCCCAGTCAACTGCCCACTGTACCCTTCAACATTTTGGTCCTAAAAATGTTTGCAGCTAAATGCCAGGATGGCTCACTAAGCTCCAGTGACTGGTGTCAGTGACAGGGACAAATGCCTTCTGAGCCTGTGGTGAGGACCTTCATCTCTCATGTGGTTTATTTGTTAGGACCAATGGTGTTGAAATCAAAGATGTGAGTTTGAGTCTTTGCCCACATATTAAGATATGTGACCCAAGTCTTTCTGTTGTGATCTGAATGTGTCTCCTCAAAGTCTGGATGTTGAAGTTCTATGCTGTTATGGTGCCCGCCTGTCATCCCAGCACTCAGGAGACTGAGGCAGGAGGGTCATGAGTTTGAGGTCATCTGGGTACATAGAGAGATCCTGTCTTGAAAAAAGGAAGGAAGGAAGGAAGGAGTGAAAAGAAAGAAAGAAAGAGAGAGAGAGAGAGAGAGAAAGAGAGAAAGAAAGAAAAAGAAAGAAAGAAAGAAAGAAAGAAAGAAAGGAAGGAAGGAAGGAAGGAAGGAAGGAAGGAAGGAAGGAAGGAAGGAAGGAAGGAGGGAGGGAAGGAAGAAAAAGAAAAAAGTTGGGTGTCAGTGGCTAGCTGCTTGGGAGGCTGAGATTGGGAGGACTGTGGCTCAAGGACAGCCCAGGCAAATTGTTCGAGAGACCCCATGACCAAAATAACCAGATCAAAATAGACTGGAGGTGTGGCTCAAGCAGTAGAGTGCCTGCTTTGCAAGTGCAAAGACCTGAGTTCAAATCCCATCCCACCAAAAAAAAAAAGGGAAAGGAAAGAAGGAAGGTAAAGATATGATATTAGGATGTGAGGTCTTTGGGAGGTGCATTAACAGGGTGGAGCCCTCACAAATGGGATGGCCACCCTTACAAAAGAGGCCTCAAAGTCCTGCCCTGCCCCTTCCACAAGGTGAGGACAGAACTGGAGGCACCATGTGTGAGGAGGTGGGCTGACCAGACACTGCCAGCACCTTGACTTTGGACCTCCAAACCTCTAGAACAGGGAGAGCTCAATTTCTGTTGTTTATGAGTGTTTTGTTTCATCTACCCAAATGGACTCACTTTCTAAGCCACCCTCTCCCATGCTAGCATCAGCAGGGGCAGGGCCAGGTTTTATGTGGCCTGAAGCTCCTGAAACTTCAAATGAGTTGTCCTGAGGCACTAGCCTCCTTTGTCAACATATCTCTGCCTGCACTTCAAGGAGAGAAGCAGAAAATGTCACGTACCTTGTGCCCAACCAAGTTCCACAAAGGTCACACCTGTCCTGAGAATCAGAATCCAACAACAACCGGAACTCCTTCTGGCATCAGATGGTGACAATGACTCGGCAACATCATATTTCCTAGACCAGCTGTGTGGCCCAGTGTAATTTGGACTGTTCTGTGTGGATTCAGAGCTGCTTCCTTGTCCTTCCTGAAGGTTCTGCAAACTTTTTATATCCCTTTTAAACATTTACTAAGCATTTATTGGCTATCATTTCCTGAACTCAGGACTGAGCCCTCTGCACACCCAACATTTTTGGGTTTTTTTGATGGTACTGGGGTTTGAACTCAAGGTCTTGCAATTGCTAAACATGGCTCTACCACTTGTGCCATGCCCCCAGCCCTTTTTTCTTTAGACTTTTTTCAGACAGAGTGTCATATTTTTGTCCAGGGTGGGGCTCACCTGGACCATGAGCTCCCTTGTTGCTGGTATTACAATGTGCACCATACACTGGGCTTATTTGTTGAGATGGGTAGAGGTGTCTCGATAACTTTTTGCCAAGCCTGGGCTCGAACTGATCTTCTGACTTCTGCTTCCTGAGTCATTGGGAATACAGGTGTAAGCCATCACTCCTGGCTCCCAACATCCCTTTAATAAGGCCTTTTGCTTCCAGAGCAAGGTGTTGTGGCGTACAGTCAGGAATCTTACCTGTTCTCCTCCAAGGCTTGGCCTGGAAGGGCTAAGGGAAGGCAGAACCACCCCCAAAATCTTTTTTCTTGTAAGTTTCTGGCAAGCCTGATTAGTTAACATTTACCGTAAGATCTGCCCTGGCTGCCTTCCAGGCACTGTGCCTGCTGCCACCCTCTTACTCTGCCACTAAGTCTCCTGGCTCGCTGCCCAGGCCTCTGCAGCTCTCTCCTTTCTCCTGTCTTCTTCACTGCCTTCGTCCATGCTAACTCTGCTTGCTCTGCAGATTCTGAGCTCTGGACCCAGTATTTACCACCTCCTGTATCCCACAGCTGGTTCTCTGGCCTGACTCTGCTCTTCCCTAAAGCAAACAAGATGGGAAAATCCCACTCTGCCAGGAGACAGATCTCTGCTAGCTGTGTTCATCCTCTTCTCCCCACCTCAGCTCCAGAATAAAATCTCTGTCCAGCTTTCATCCTTCCTCTCACCACGTGATCTCAGACAACTCCCTTCACCTTTTTTTTGTTTGTTTGTTTGTGGTACTGGGGCTTGAACTCAGAGCCTTCACCTTGAGCCACTCCACCAGTCCTATTTTTGTGAAGGGTTTTTTGAGATAGGGTCTCGATAACTATTTGCCAGGGTTAGCTTCAAACCATGATCCTCCTGATTTCTGCCTCCTGAGTAGTTTAGGATTACAGGCATGAGCCACTGGCACCCAGGGACCCTTCACTTCTGAGGTGCTTGTCAAACATTATCAGGTGCAAAGCTAATCTGTATCACACAGATTAATTATCATGTTTATTTCCATAAGTAGGACCTTTTCCCTCAGGACAAATCAAAGACTCATCAAATATTCATCAGACATGATCAGGGCAATGGAATGTGTGGGAGCTCCCAGGAGGTGGGGCAGAGAGAGGGTAAGGAGCAACCATAAGACAGAGGGATGTACTCTGCTTTCTCAGTGAAGATGCAGGTGAGTGCACCTGCATCATGAAGTGTGGTGACCGCAGCCTGGGGGGAATGGAGGCCGAGGTGCCCATGCAGTGGGGTGGAGTGTGTGTAAACCTCAGGAGTAACTCATCACAGTGTCCCTCACCTGCTGCATCCTACATACCTAGGAGGAGAGAGTTAAGGGCAAAGAAAGTGCTTGAGTAGGAGCCAAGTCGCCTCTGTGCCCAGAAGGGGTAGGGGCAAGAGGGAACCTGATGAGAATCCAGCTCCTAAAGAGGACTCAAAGGAAAGACAAGAATCCGGAGAGGAAAAAGGCATGGAATTCCCGGGTTCAATTCTTTCCTAGTGCAAAGGCGGAGCTCCATGCTCCTGAACCCTGGTTGCTGGCCAGCTTCTTGGTTCACTTGGCCCCTTCTTCATCACACACTCCTCCAGGACCCTGCCTACCACCCGGCCACAACCCAGGCGCTCCGCTAAGGCCCAGGCTGGGGGTCGGTGGACGAGGCCCATCTGAAACTGCTCGAGCCGCGGGGTATCACCAGGTCCAGCGTAAGGTCACGCTGCTCTTGCTCAGAGAACACTGGCCTGTAGCCCAGCAGCTGCAGTGCGCCTGCGCACAGCTCCTGCACGTGGCGAATCTTGGTGAAGGGCAGCGCGTGGCGCCAGGCCTGGGAGACGTTGTGCGCGTCCCTGGACGTGGTCTTGAAGGCCTCGCGGCGCGCGCCCGGTCCGGCCCCGTGCGTGATGTTATGGATCCAGGTTTCGAGCTGCGGCGTGAGGCTCAGGCCGGCGAACGCGTAGAGCGCGCGGATCTCGGTCAGCGGCTCCCTCGCCAGGTCCTCGAAGCGCACCAAGCGGTAGCGATCTCGCAGGAAGGGCGGCGGCTTGTCCAGAGCGGCTTCGGCGATGCGCACGTGGCTGCGGCACACCTCGCTCACCACGCGCAGGCGGGGATCGGCCTCCACCCACGTGCCGTTGGTGCCCAGCACAATGCCGTTGTCGCGAGCCAGCGCCTTGGCCGTCTGCTCTCGGGATCGCAGCACCGCGCGCGGGTCGCGCACCAGGTGCACGATGTGCAGGTTGAGGGAGGGGTCGGTGAGCAGCGGGTAGAGCACCTGCAGGTTGAAGAAGCGCACCTCCTTGAGCACCACGTGGCTGTAGGAGAGGCAGGCCTCCTGCGCCAGGCTGAACGGTCGCCGCGCGCACAGCGGCTTGCACACCGCTTCGCTGCTGATGGCGCCCCGGCCGAAGGCGCTGCAGGCGGGTGGCGAGCACAGCGCGCGGCTCACCGCCCACTGGAAGAGGTCCGAGAGGTTGCGGCGCCACGGCAGATAAGCGTCAAACACGTCCATGTCACACAGGAACACGGAGCGCACCAGATCGCGCACAGCCATGTGTAGGGCCGGTGCACTGCCCTGCGACAGGGCCGCCCACACGTGCCACCCCGGCTCCATCAGGTAGAAGACATCCGGGTGCTGACTGAAGAGCTGGCCCACGAAGGACGAGCCCGAGCGCCACGAGGACAGCACCAACACGTGCACGCGCTCCTTGCCGCCCGCTGGGGACGATGGCCCTGGCCTCGAGACCAGGAAGAGCAGAAGGCAGGTCTGCGCCAGCAGGAGTACGGGCACTACTGCGCTGGAGAAGCGAGGCAGCCGCATGCCGGCGGCCGGGGCCTGCGGGAGGAGAGCGAGCGCCAGGGTTAGGGACCACCGCCTGCCTGCCCATCCCAGGCCTCAACGACTGTCCAATGCCGGACCACCCCACCCACAACGGCCTCCTGAAACCTCCGTTGTCTCAGTAGGGCGCTTTCCCCAAAAATGTGAAGTTAAGACATAAGTCATGATCTAGGCTATGCTAAGAGCAAAAGTCTACTTTTCTAGGTTACTAAAATACTGTGGGAAATCTCTATCTATCCATCCATCCATCCATCCATCCATTCATCCATCTGCCTGTATATCTTCATCTACCTGGAAAGGGAAATACTATTTTTCAAACAGAAATCTTGCCTTTTGTTTAAGAATTCACCTTAAGACACTTTTAGGTGGTTTAGCTAAACAGATTGATGGACGATTTGGCCTTGTCAGACTACCACGAGGTACCTTTGGATTGAATCCTGAGCTCTTCCCGTTCCTCACCTGTGATCTTGGATAAAACTCTTAATCTTTCTGAGTCAGTTTATTCATCTGTAACAAGGGGATAATACTGGTGCCTGACTCAAGGGACTGGGGGGGATGATTGGAACAACACTGGGGGAGGGAGGACACAGTAACCCCCATAACAGAGGACTTGCATGTTCCATATAATGTGCTTCCACATTGTATGATTTTACTTGACAAGCAGGTACAACATTTGTTATTAAAAATAAACAAAGGGAGTCAGGTGCTAGTGGCTCACACCTATAATCCTAGCTCCTTGGGAGGATCATAGTTGGGGGCCAGCCAGGATCAAACAGTTTATAAGACCCCATCTCCAAAATAACCAGAACAAAATGAACTGGAGGTGTGGCTCAAGTGGCAGAGTGCCTGCTTTGCAAACACAAAGCCCTGGGTTCAAATCCCAGTACCACGGAAAATAATAGTAATATAAATAAATGAAAATAAACAAAGGAGGTTGGGAGTGTGGCTCAAGTGGTAGAGTGCTTGCTGAGGCTCTGAGTTCAATCCCCGTACTACCAAAAACAGAGGTTGGGGATGTGGCCTGCTTTGGTCTAGAGTGCTTGCCTGGTATGCATGAGGCCCTGGGTTTGATTCCAAACCCAGAAATAAATACCAAAAATAAACAAACAAATAAATAATCAAATTAAAGAATACCAACTGTTACCATCACCCACAGGGAGTGAAGGGCTGAGGGAGCATGGGCTCTAGAGTCAGGGTGTTCTCTCTGAGCCATGTGAGTTTCAGAGGAGCCCAGTTAAGGGGGTTGCTTGCCCCTTCCCTGCTGGGGGTACTTACTGCTGTCTGAGGCTGCCAGGAGAGCTGCCTGTGCTGATCACAAGTCCATCAAGATGCCTGGATGTTCCTGAGGCCTGACAAAACAGGGGAGAGACTGGGTTAGAGCCCCACAGGGAAACAGCCCTGCACACAGAAAGCTCCCAGGGGCAGAATTGAAGCTGCTCTGCCACTGGCCTGAACTGGGCATTTTTCCAAATGGATGGTTAACTGATGGCCTTTCCTGATGGATGGGGGAGAGAGGGCTGGCTTTGAGTACCAGCAGTTACTTAGGAGCTAAGAGGCCTGGGGCAAGTGACTTGACCTCTCTGGGGCTATTTTCCTCCTTTGTAATACAGGGCTGGCAGCATTAACTTCTTAGGGTTGTTGTGAGGGATCATGCTGCAAACAGAGGGCTTGGCCCAAGAGGTCTCTGCTTAGATGAGATATCCTGAGGTCATCCTGGCATCTCCCAGGCCCACTTCTAGCACCCAACAACCCCTGCTCCCTTCAGTGGATCTTTAGACTGTCACACTTGTCCCACAGGTAGAAGGAACACAGGGCTCAGCTCCCACACCCCCAAGGTGCCAGAATTTCTTCTGCTGTGCACCTGTTGCTCCTGCACATGATCTTCAGGCTGGGTGACAGGAAGGGAGGGACCTGGCAATTTCCTCCTTGCTTTTGTAGCATTTGCTTCCCACCCAACCTGCTCGCCTATCCTTAGCACCAGTGAGAGAAGTTGGGGTGTAAATTGTGAGCAGATGCCATCTGTGCTCCCCCTCGCCATGGGGAGGACACAGAAGTGGATAGAGGATGTCTAACAGCTCTGTCACAGCTTCTTCCTGAATCCCACACCCAGTCTTGGAAAACCCAGAAGACAGAGTGTGGTCAACCATCTGCTCTACATACGTCATCAACACCCCTGGACTTCTAGCTGCTGGTTTTCCTGAGAATAGGGTACTAGGAAGGAAGGGGACTTCTATTTGCCAGTAAGTACTAGATGCTTTATGTCTACTCCATGATTTCACTCAACAGCCCCTGAGGTGGACAGTATAATCTCAATATTTTAGCTGAAAGACTCAAGGCATAGAGAGAGCAGGGGAGCTGGGAACCTATCCCAGGACTCCAGTTGTAAGCTCCTGGCACTTCTGATTACAGGCTGGGGTCTCTCTAACCCCAAACTACTCCCTCAGAGTACAGGATTCTATTGCTTTGACCCAAAGCAAAGACAGCTGCCTTGGCCAGTCCAGCCTTCCCCAGGATAGAAAGGATATTGACCCCAGGCTCTAGGAAAGCCAGAGATCTTCTTAAGTGACTCATACATTATAGGAACTGCTATCTGATTCTCTTACTGGAACTAAAGAACTAGGACAGACATTGCAGTATCTTATGCCACACAAGGTGTCCAGAAGTCTAAGTCTGAGCTGGGAGTTTTCTGATAAGGAGCTTCTGTTCTGTGCAATGGCCAATTGCCAGAGAGTTTGAAGCTAAGAACAAGTCAGGCAGGCATTGTGATTGGTATGTTTACCTTCATGATTAAATTTTACCCTCCCAACATTTCTATAAGGTAGAGACTATTATCCTTGTCTGTTTTCATTGAAGAGACGGAGTTGAAACATGAATACCCAGCCAGCAAGGGCCAGTGCAGGAGTTGAAAATATGAGGGTTAGGGCTGCTCTGAAAACAGAGAAAAAAAAAAAAAAGAAAACCATGAATCAGGCCTCCGTCCTAGTGGAGCTGACAGTCTAGTTGAGGACATTAAAGACACATACATGTGATGGGCAAGAGACCAGATGGTGGTCCCAATGAATGGCTCAGACATCCCGACATGGGAGGACCATGGAAATCTTGGTATGCATACTTCTTTCTTGGATTTTGGCAAATTCCACCCCTTGGCTTTCCCCACAATCCATTTTGAACAACGACACTAATGATGTGTGCCTAAAACCACACATTAGATCATGTCAATATACTCAGCATCCAGTCTCACTTGCCATAATTCCCATTCAGTATCCTCCAGAATCACTAGTATTTGCAAAAGAGCTTCATGCTCCCTCACTGTTCTGCTGTGGAGTGCCCAGTCCTGACTCTTACCACGAGTCATCTCAGCTTCCTTTGAGGGTCCCTCCTGTGTGCCTCTCTCTAGCCATGCACAACTCTGCTCTGTTCTGCTTTGCTTCCCTTCTTGCCTTGCAGGCAACTTGGGGGTTGGGATTGTGGATTTTCTGCTAGTGAGTGTCTGTTCTTGGATATCAGTGTGGGAACACTGGACAAGATTGTGTCTGCTCAGTACCTATTCCTCCTTCCAAAAACAGCCTCTAGATTTTTCCCTGGGGAAGCACCTCTCACTCACTCACATGGTTTGGACAGAACTAACCCACCAGTTCCTGACTGCAAAGGGCCACATGTCTCAAGACTGGCTTGTCTAGTATTCCACAAACTTACCCCATCCAGCCCCACCCCCTGTCCCACACAGAACTATTAGCTTAGGAATGGAACACTTCCCAAACTCCACCCCAAGAATTTTTGCAGAGCTGAAGAGAAGAGAGAGAGACTGCCTGGATACAAAGCCAATCCAGAAGAGAAGTGAACAGAGAAAGTGAGTTCATAAGCAAGCTGCCAGCACCTGGATCCAGCTGTGGAAGGCTCACCAATGGATTTGTCAGCTGGGGAAAGTGCACCATTTCTGCTTAAGCCAGTATGAGCTGAGTTTCTGTCACAACCAAGAGCTCTGATTAGATGGTGGATGCCCTTGATGGGTGGGTGAGAGGGGGTAGAACTGAGGGGGGAGCATGGGCAGAGTTTCTGGGCACTGATCATGCTCTGTTTCTCCATGAGGGTGCTAATTATGAGTATGTGTTCAACTTGTGAAAATTTATCAAGATGTACTTTTATGATCTGTGCTCTTTTCTGATGTATGTTATACTGCAATAAAAGTTAAGGGCTGGCAGCATAGTTCAAGTGGCAGAGTGCCTGCCTAGCAAGTGCAATGACCTGAGTTCAAACCTTAGTACTGCCAACAACAACAATGAAAAAGTTAAGAATCCTAAAGATCAAATGACTACATTACATTAATAAATATTTGCTGATATCGGCCAAACCCAAAGGGAGTAACTAATCACCAACTTAGCTGGAATTTCTTATGCTGTGCCTCTTAAAGTTACAGTATCTTCTGAACATCCATTTCTTGGCCTGAAAGATACAGGAAGAGGCTGTTGTTCTGCCTGGTTCACAGATGGGAAAATCAAGATCTAGGGGAAGGGATGGTTTGCCATTGCAGGTGTTGTGCTGGAGCCCAGGAAGCGCTCTGGGCAGCACTCACTTCTAGCCAAGTTCTGTCCATCCTCAACTAGGCAGCTTCTCTTGTTACCAGCCTATCCCAGCCTTGGCGTAGAATCTAAGAGAGTGAAATATAATACTAGGTGCAAACCCCAGGTTCAGATTTCTTTCAGTTTGTTGTCAGCTGGAGGCCATCTCTGTTCAGGAATCCCAAAAGCCAGGCATAGTGGATCCTGAATCAGTAAACTTTACACAGCAGAGCCACTAGTCACCAGGCACTGGTAATCCTAGTTCAGGAAGCAGAGAGTATGAGGATCAAGGTTTGAAGCCAGCCTAGGCAAATAGTTTGAGAGACCCTGTCTCAAAAAACCCTTCACACACACACACACACACACACACACACACACACAAAAGGCTGGTGGAGAGGCTCAAGATGTAGGCCCTGAGTTCAAACCCCA